TGATCGGCAGAAGAACTGCACATATTTACAGCCATGTCGAGTGTAACGATTACAGCACAGAACTCACCGTCCGTCACTACGGGTCTTACGTGACAGGTAACGTATTCAGTTTCCATGCATGTCATTCCAATGAACACCTAAGAAAAATAATGTTTATGCCAGAAAATGGCTATGAAAACGAAACTTTCGATGAGTCACAGGATAGAAAAAAGTGTTGCAAGTAAAAAATATAAGAAACGTTAGTAACAACTCACGGCACTTAGAATCCCGTGTGTAAGCTTACAGCATAGCCTGAAAAAATCGAACTGAAATAGAAAATGGTGGACATTTCACCTTAAAAATAACGCCACGCCATATAAGATTTCGTTCCGTAGAGGTTTGCAGCGTATGACATAAGTGAGCTTTTCACCAGTATGCGAAACAAGGTTTTTGGTCACGCTGAAGTCTATTAGTTGTAGTGAATTTTCTGAGCAAAATGCATCGCTTGCACCCAGGGTCAACCCTACGTTGTTACTAGTAACAACGGGGGGTCGTACCTGGTTGAGTTTATAGGAGGGGGGTCGTATCCGCTTCAGTCGCGTGAAAGTACATGTGAGTTTGTGGTGAAAGTGGAGTTTTCACGAGTAGTAGGCTAGGTGAGTTGGGAGCGCATGGGAGAGAAAAAAGAGTGGCGGAAAATAGAGGAAATTATAGGAAAATGTAGGGAATTTTGTGGTAATAATTTTACTGTTTCATAGTGGGATAAAAAGTGGGCGGAGTTTGGTGGGTTGAGTGGTACCAGAATTAAATACTATAGAGAGGAATATGGTGGTCGAGGTGTCGAAAAGGGGGTCGTACCAAATCCACCTTGGGGGAGGGGGGTCGTAAAAATTTTTCAAAAAGTAACAACGATAGGACTGACCCTGCTTGCACATCGTCTGCCTGCGTTATTCTGTTTATTGTGAAAGCCAAATCGCATTTGCATGCTCGAAGATTTTATCCATTTTCGGTTCAAGAGTAAATAGGGGATAAGGGGCATCACGGCGCAGCTAATCCCAGCCATTGAGCCTTTTTTTTAGTTCCTATCGACACCTGCTGTTGGTACAGGTTCTTTCAGGGCTTAATTTAAGGGGAGTGAGCACGATGTGTGGGGGGTGAAGCGGTTTGATGGCGTCATAGGATGTCAGTTGTGGATTAGACGCTGGGGAAATGTGATCGGGATCACCCTGCACCTCCCTTCCACCAAACACGCTCGATGACTTCGCCAAAATACTTCGTCTTCCAGCCATCGTGTTCACTGGTATTAAGGAAAAGTTGGTACTGGTAGGCCCATGAGTTAACCGACCAATGTTTCTCGATCTCACAGGACTCTTATAATAGAGAGGAAAGAGTTCGAAATTTTCCAATTATACCATTATTCCGCCCACAAAAATCTTCGTGATTTAGAGGTGTCCGCTTAGCAATTCTTAGTACTTCAGTGTTTCATCACCACACAAGTTAAAGAATCCGAAATTCGCACGTTTTCCAAGGGATATTTTATCTTTCAAGTGAGTCCTCAAATCTGAAGGGATGTGAAGCACACGGCGCATCCCAGAGTGGGCCCAGTTGGTTGCGCGCGCTTCAACTACGGCTCTCTGGAGAAAGAATCTCAATTCAGGAAAAATCAAGAGGATTCTGAAAGGGTCCGTGTGAAATTACAGGGAGGAGTCCACTATTCAACAAGAAATGCAGCCTTCAGCGTCAAATTCATGAACATATAAGTGTTAAAGTTGAGATTCGTCAAACAATTTTACACTTGTTGGAAAAAAAAGCTCGTGGGTTCCGATCTGCTCCCATTTTTGTACGAAATTGCCCTGAAGGCACCTATATAGTCGTTGAAATAGTGCCAATGCAGCGAAAAAGTACCTTTCGGCGGTACTCGGCAAAAATCCTCAACGTGGCCATTTTTTAAATACTGGACGTATTAAGCTGCTTTAGTAACCGTTTGATAGAGCAAATCTTCTAGTTTATGATGACGTATTAACTTTTCAGATTTGATGAAAATGAAGCAAGTTATGGCTTTGGAAAGTGTAAAAACTCGTGCTCATCATGAATTTTCCTCGTTAATTGATCTAAATTTGTTATAACTTTTTGTAATTTCAATACTGATTAGAAAGAAGCTCTTCACAAAACTCCAAATCTGCTTTCAGATTGAAAATTCATAATTATACACTGCGTTTCATAAATATAGGTCCACCCTAAATTTTTGCTATTCCAAAGTTGCTGTGCATTTTTGGAAAATGCCGCTATTACCAATAGTTTCCCCATAACGAAAAACCTTGATACTTGATTTCTGGAGAAATCTCGATTCAGAATTATTAAAATATCTTCCTTAGAACGTATTTTCACCGTTTCGCAAATATGACTACACATCACTTGTCGAGAGATTTTACTATAACGAAAAAACGTCACGAATTTTCAATAATGGGATGACCCCCCAATAATCATAAGGAACACAATAATACGTTTTGAAATGCTGGTAGCCAAATTAGCTATTACAGTAGGATCGAAATTCGTCTGGGCGCCGATGATCGACCTTTTCAGCTTTTCGGCTGTTCCATTTTGCTTTACTTTGCTGTGGAACTTTATAACAATTAAGGCCCAATGATTCTCTATTGGAATCTAATTCAGATAACATGGTGGCCACCAGATAACTGCCACATTTTTTCCTGCAATTCCATCTGGCGCGGAGGGACCGGCATGGACAGCCGCGTTATCGTGTGTGAAAATCAAGGATAGAAGGGTGCCTCAAACCATAAGGGATTCACCGCCGAAATTACGTTACATTGAAACCATCTGCGATTTTCACGCGATCATCCTGTACCCTCTTTTTCTGCCATATCCACCTAGAATAAACTTTTCCACGTCGATCTCAGACCACCTGTAGAACGAAACAAGGAGGTAGAGTCCAAGATCGCGAAGGGTCTTAACAGCCACACCATCGCTCATTAAGTTGAGCCCTTTTCCACGGAGAAATGGAGACTTGCGATCTTGTAGCGCTCAAATAATCTTGGAACGCTCTTCATCAATCCGTTGAAGATGTTATTGCTCTGCTGGCTTACTCACCACACGGTGGTTTTGCTCACGGAAGGCCGCATTTCAGTACGGACTTTGTTCGGACTCCTTGTATAATTCGAGAGAAGACACCCAATTCCTCCTAAATTTTGAAGGAAACGCAGTCTTTATTTACCTAAGCGACTCTTCTCTCCGCACTGACCAGGATTTTGCACATAGTCGCTTATGCAGTATGAGCCGGCCGACATGGGAGGAAATTCTGCTCCTCAGCTATCCCACTTCAGTAAGTGCTCTAGCTTGAGCTTGTTACTGGGAAGAGAGGCGAATAACACGAGGTATGGTAAACTCGATGTCGACTGAGCCCATATTTCCCCGCTTCCCTGATTCCCTTCACGGATCGTGAGAAATGGAAACTTTTTATGAGTGGCCCGATATTCATGAAACGGTGAAAATTCGTTCTAAAAAGTTAATTGGGTTACTTGAGGGGGGAATTTGTCAGAAAAAACACTATGAAGGTTTTCCGTGATGAGGAATCTAACGGTGATAGCAGCATTTCCAAAAAATGCACAGCAACTTTGGGGTAGCAAAAATTTAGGGTGGACCTATAATTATGAAACGCAGTGTATTAGTCATTTCGAATATTTCGTTCTAATTTCACGGTCAACGCGAGAGATCAGTCAACACACAGCTGGCTAACGCGGTACAGGCTTCTTTCAACCAAAACCGGGACGTGTAGATTGAAAACCATATTCTGTGTAGTACGAAATTTGAAAAGCCTTCTAAAGGAAATAAATAAAAAAGAGGTGTTGTCAAAGTATTCCATTTTTGGTGACTATTTGCCGTTTTTTTGCTCCGTTTCTCGTGGCTCGTTTGGTTGAGGACTTATTAATAATGATCATTCATTGACCTTTGTACTTCTTGAACGACTTTTGTGGAGGGTGGGTTAACAGGGCTTTTTTTATGAACAGTTTCGGGGAGAATTCAACCTTTTCATAAGTCGCCTTGTAGAGAGGTCGTTTCATGTATTTCGGCCTCGAGGAGGGCAGCTGTATTTCAAAATTTTCTCGACGCCTTGCTTGCACCCCTGGTTGTGACGCTTTCCTGGGTCGCCGTTCCCAACCATTCTCAAGATTAGGCTTGTTCTCACAAGTTCCTTCCTCTCTTCTTGGCTACCCATCCCGTGTTTTTACTTCAGGGACACCTCTATCCGATAATGTTAGAAGCTGTTACAGAAAGCTTAATTTTTCAACTGCGGCGTTTATTACTAGTCTCGTAGTAATTAACAACGCAGCTTGAGCTGTAAAGACGCTGACGGACCAATGAAGTTGTTTGATTGAAAAACGAATCCTATATGTTCGTGGGATGATTAGAGCATAAAACTCATGTGCTCAAGCAATGTGCTCACCGGTGGTTTCTTCCTGCATGTCAGTAACCATGGGACTTTCTGTCATCTCCATATCGGTGGTTTCTTCTGGTCCTTCGCTTATTTGTGGAGTTTCAGTCATCCCTTCATCAGTTCAGTTCTTTCCGCATATACTAAGCCAGCGTCTCTGTCGGCTCCATATCCGTGGTTTCCTCTGGTGTTTCTGCGTCTGTGGGATCAACATCAACAGTTGTCTCTTCCAGCGGTAAAGGACTACTTTCGTTTGGCACTGTGCCCATAGGTTCTGTGCTGTCACTCATCGATGTGTCGGTAGTTTCCTGAATCTCTGCAGGACTTGAAGTGTGTCCATCCTAGGTGTACTTTCTTGAGGCAGTGCGGTAATGGTTTCAGTTGGCATCGTGCCCATCGGCTCGGTACGGTCACTCAAGTCCGCAACAGACGTCTCTTCATTTCGAACGGTAGTTTCTCCTCCAGCTCTGGGAGTGATCTCAACGTCGACATCGGTGGTTGGAGCTCTTGAAGTTTCCATACCAAAGCCAGTTGTGGATTCTGCATGCTGCACTCTGGTTGTTTCTATGGTGAGTCAGACAGCGGCTCTCATCAAGGCCACTCTAGGTCCGAAGTGGATATCATCCTTGTCGTTATCTGGATTGTAGCTGAAATCAAACTCGGTAATAAAGTTCGGCAGATCAAAGAAGAAGAAACAAAGGGATTCATTAAAATTCAAAAGATCTGCGCCCAAAATTTTTCGTTAGCTATTCACGAATGAGGGGATCTTTCGAGAAATTGAACAGCGGATTTACACTTTGACGACGGCATGACGCGCGTGCGCGCAGCTTCGCGGGCGTGACTTTGCTTGGACTACATGGTATTTTTATATTAGAAAGTTTGTCGTCTCACCGCGAATCAGAAAAATACTATAACACCCATTACTAACAAGAATAAAACAATGAGGTTATTGGAAGAGTAGGCTGGTTTTGGAAAAGTATAAAACAAAGATGCCGAGGAGCAAGCGCAACGGGCTTCCATCAATGTGTTAAATCATATCCACATACTCGATTCTGCAGCCAAAAAGCTTTCGAGGCGTAACAAGCATTAATTTCGGAAAGGAGAATAGCGCCGAGTGTAGATCACGCACCACAAGCGGCGAGGACCACTTTTTTTATTGGCCGTCGTCACTTTTGTGTGTGATCTGCACTCGACGCTTTTCTCGTTTCCCGAAAAAGGGGCACTTACTGAGAGAAGGGGTTGCTGAAGTTAAGACGATTGCAGGCACAGTCGGTAGACGTGTTGTAGCTGAAATTGTTTGATATGGACAGAGAAATAGATACAATAAAGACTCAGTCAACGAACATGCATCTGGTGGTGGAGTAGCGCGATTTGGTTGCGCTGCTGGTCTGCCGGTCGTGGCAGCCTCACAATATGTGACCTCGGAATAGGTGCCGCTGGAAGATGAAAATTGTCTTCCAAATTATTTCGCAACTTTATTTAATATGCAATGACCAGTTATATGAAGTTATGCTAGCTTACTTCATAGCAGTGCAGAACCGGTTTCCTGTCATTTATTCGACCTTCCTTTTTTGCTCCCCATTTTCAGAAACTGCTCTAACTTGCCTACTGCGCTGGGTGTCGAAAGCAGGGCCAAGGGAAGCGTTGAAAAGAACTTTGAAAATTACTATCACTAGCGCCCCTTTAGTAAAGTTGCAGTGCAAAAATGGTGACGTTTCTCTGCGTGCAGACAACATTTGAAGATATGCGGTTGCTCTTTCAACGCATGCGTTGACGCTGGATTAGCTTATCTACGAGGAGAAGAGGAGAACACGCTGAAACTGAACAAATATTCAGAACAAATATTCAAATGAAGAAAACTTTGTTCAAATCGAAAAATTCCCGATAACAAAGGATTTGGGAAGCTACTTAACTGGCTCTTTGTAAATGGTAGTGATATTGAGGAAATCAATGAGAAACTGCGGGAGAAGTTTCGAGGTAATGAACGAGGAACATTCTAGGGAAGCACGAGTTTTTCCATTTCAGAAGCACTGACTTCCTCCAAATGCAAGAATTCAAATATGTTCAAGTGCTATCACAAGACGCAGGGGCAATGTGGTGGCGATGCCTTGAAATTCCGTAAACATATCCTTTGTTCAAACGGGACTAATTCTGAGGGAACGGATTCTGGGGGAAAGTTAGGGTGCGTTAGCCATTATCATTTTCGCCGTAGCTCCTTTTCACTCCTATGCTTAGTCTCAGAGAATAACCCTGTATACTGAGACAGCGCTAAACTTTGATGAGCACTGTTGACCAAAAAAAATTGTTCTGTTCTAATGCTTTCAAAAAGACTTGATACATTGATGGTAATGGTGAATTGTTCTGAGCAAGTTCCGATCGAAGGGAACCTTTATCCGTGCACTCGCGTTGTCGCGGCTCCCTCCACATGCAAAGGCCGACAGGAGGCCCGTCGCGTTGCAAGAAGGCAGAGTAAGTAGACGAGTCGTAACGCGTGCTACGAGATGCAGGACGTGAAATGGTACCCAAACAAATTGACGCGAAATTGCGACAGTACTCGTCCGCTAGCTCTACCTGCTTGCCGCGCGAGCCTCCAGTCGGGTACCCCACTCGCAAACAGGCTATCGCTGCTCTGGTTATTGCTGCCGCACTTACGATCTCCTTCAATTTCATTGGACCTAACACATCCTACTCCTCACCGAGAATCCCTCAACGCATACGTGACCCTGCACTCGAATGATAGGGTCAATAAATCGTTCTGTCAATGAAACCGCTTAGCTAGCTGCTCACCTAGAGCGAAAATGCCGCTCAGATCTTTAAACATGCTTTTTTTCAAGCTCCAGCTTAGCATCTTTGTAATTTTGTTAATAGGAAACAGTAGTGAATAAAAAATGATACTCACGGACAGGTGTACGCAGTCGTTACGGTGCATCCTGGTGGTCGTTGAAGACAACTCCTGAAAATAGAAGAAAGATCATGCGGGAATCCTCGGGATAATTCTCGTCAAATTCACCACCAGAAATGAAATTACCGTATCCTTGTTCGGAAATTCATCATGGAACTCGAGTCTGTCGGACAATCTGTCCATCGGCTCCAAGCCGCCCATTCGCCTAGGTACGAACATGATTCCGTTCTCGCCAAAGGTAACAGCAGTAGTAGTAAGAGCACTATCATCGGTCTAAATATTGCATTACAATTACAATCGTTTGATCAGATGGCGGAGGTAGTGTCATGACAAAAGGCCTACGTACGCACCAAGTACGCGATCCAGGGTCCAATCTCTCCGGGCCAAAGCCGTTCAACCCTCCGATATTGGTCTTTGGAAGGATATGTAGAACTCAGACTTACATTGGGGTCTCGCAGAAGTCATTTTTGGGGGCAAATCTCATCTAGATGCTACAGGATTTTGAATGGAAGAAGAATTCGCAACCCGTCCCTAATGGTAAGGACAGATCAACGCCGAATGATTTATACTTGGTGCTTATCCTTATCCTTATCCTTATATGTTCGGATCCTTGATGGCCAAATTTGAAGCGATAATTCTATTGATTATTATTTCCATCGCTTATTTTTTCTTTTTCATTCAGTAGCTCGTCTCTAGATTTCGTTTCTATGTTGGAAGTGGCATTTTTTGTCGAACTAAACAAGTGGACCATTCTTTTTCTACCAGTACTTAAAGGCAGCGATCATCAAAAAATCAAATAAGGGTTTATGTGACGTGGTGGTGCTCAATGGTACGCCAGTGGCGAAAAAAAGCAGAAAAATCCGTCAAGAAACGCAAAACGGGACCCCTTTTTGGCCGTTGGTTTTCACTCATGAACAGGTAACAGCTCAGAAAGTGGAGTTATGAACGAGTTCACCGCAAGGCGTTTGATGGCACCATTGCATCAAGCTTTAATCGAGATGCTTGGTCGTCGCTGCTGGCCACTCTGGATCCGTGTTCGACCGTCGCTTGCTACACAACTCGCGACGGACGGTCGAGAGTTACGCCTGTTTGATTGTGCCCCTTCTCGCTGGTCGTCTGGCTACTTGCACATGATACTTTAAACCAATTGATACTCAAATTCATGCTCTCATCTGCGCTCTGATCTCGTACACTCAGCTTTTTCCTTAGAGCCAGGTACCGTTCTTCGAACATGGGGGAAGCTCAAGTAGTCACGTGACCTTCATCAACCCTCTTAACTTTTGTATCCGGTGGCAGGCAGGGTCAACCGTCCGTTCACACTATTTGAACGGCGAGGTCGTATTTGTGTTTTCGAGAAGGGGCATTGGAGTTGAGCAAGGGCATCATAGTGGGAACGGAGGTAAACGGAGGTTGTTAAATGGGATTGTGGTTCAACGGATTTTTTGACGACTTCGTGGAAGCTTTCACGAAAGTAGAGGGAATTATGGCAAAATTGGAGGCCTCATCCATTCACCCCTTCCCCAGCACTTCCGATGACGGTTTTGGAGGAAAAAAGGGGCGGAGTTGGGCTGTGTCTGATCTCAGAATCAATTACTACCATAGAAACAGCAATGATGGTGGGAAATGGGAAAGAGGGGGTCGTAATGGGGGTGCCTCCTAAGACTGATGGTGCTGGCCAGGGGTCACACAATTTCTGAAAAAGTACGAACGTGACGGTTGATTCTGCGGCTAGGTGCGTGTCCACTGCAGATTTACAACACAAATGACGACGGCATCCACAAAATGTAGTAATTTCTGCCAATGAAATGATTAGCCTGTTGCAGTTGTATTCTATCAGTTGTCACTAATTACAAATATCATTCATCTTCTATCAGCTATCCCTACAAACTCTTTCTATCAGATTTATTTGAAGGCAGTCGTCACTTGTGTTGTAGAGTCTGCAGTGCAGGGGTGTGGTTCATTAGGACAGAAAGCGACATTTTCGCGCTTCGCAATGCGACATCGCGCGGCAGGCCAGCGCTCCCACAGCGAAAACAGCTACGGTGAATGGAGCGCGTTATTTGCTCTGGTTCTAAGTTGCGACAAGGAATTTGAAGCTTACTAACCATGGACTTGATAGTGAACGAGAAAATGGTCAAGAGATAAGATAATCCACTTCAGTAATTAACCTACCCCCGAGAGGTAGGTTATTTTGAAGAGGATGGATGGTAGAGCTTTCAGAGAACCTGGAAGAGGAGTGGTTGATGGACGTTCGATGAGACTCACGACAAAGGATCAGTTCGTCAGAGTTTGCTATGATATATAGAGTATTACCTAGGCCGATGAGTGTGTAATTACCTCGTTCACCAATAATTTGAAGTGTTCTAGAATTCTAGAATACCACTTTAACGGCATCGCTCGGAATCGTGTAATTCACAAAACCATTGATGAGAGAGAATTGGTGATTCACCGCATGTCTCAATACAATGAGTGTGAGCGTGGGCAAGCAATAAATCAGAAACTTACAAATTCACGCATGCGAAAAAAGCTGCTCCAATCGCGCGCTTCTTCATACCGTAGCTGTTTTCGCTGCGGGAGCGCTAGCCTGCCGCGCGATGTCGCGTTGCGAAGAGCGAAAAAGTCGCTTTCTGTCCTAAGTACCCACACCCGTAGCGCAGACGGTGCAAAGTGGGTTGGGAGGGTGGGGACCAAGCGGTAGTGCGGTGTTCTGTTCATCTGCTTCCTCCAAGGCTTAGTCTCGATGGCGCGTATTTCGAAACTGCCACGTGGTGATGAAATAGTAGCTCCCTGGACAAAGCTTCGGAGGAGCAGACGAACAGAGCGCCGCGCCGCAGCCTGGTCCCCCAAACTCATTTAGCACCATGCACACTTCCCTGGGGAGTTGCTTGTTTCGCTTCTTCTGTCTCGCTTTTTTTGTTCGCTATATATCGACAATTGTTCGTTTACTTATGGGTTTTTCTCTGACTTCACCACTAACTGAATGCCTGGCAAGTTTCTTAGCTTATCTATAGCCTGCTTGCTTTGACGGTGAGTTCCACTTTGAATTGAAATTAGTTTTTTGCTCCAGCACCCTGTGCTCTCTATTCATGTGCTGCGTCATGTGTTCCGTCTCTTCGTGGTCCAATTTTGACGTTATTTCAGTCTTGTCTGCATTCCTGGCGTCACCGCACTTTATGGCGTCAAGCTCACTATTTCTTTGTGAACCTACAATCGTTAGAGCCCTCTTCGGGTGTCCCCCAACAGGCCCACGCGCGGCGAAGCAAGAGACGCAGACGCGGCAAAGGACGAGTCGCAGCGCATACTGTAGCGGTTAGGCGTCAGGTTAAATAGAGTGTACCATACTACGTCTCATATCGCACAGCACGCGCTGCAACTCGCATCTGCGTCTCTTGCTTCGCCGCGCGGGGGCCTGTTGCAGGACAACCGCCCTTTTCAGGTGCGCACTTGATCGAGGTTTCATCGTACGTACATAGCTCTAACTACCTCTGCCCACCAAAGAAGATCATCGGATAGTTGTGCTACCTTATTTATTCTTTCTTATGTAACCCCACCTATTCTGTACTGAAGAGCGCTCAAAGCAGCAACTCCAGACTACCAATGGAGTGAAAAAATGGGTGTGCACTAGTAGAGAACAGATGAAGTGCCGCTGAACCAGAAAGCGATCTTAGAATGTTATCATATAGGACTGGGTAAGTGTCAATTTGGTCCGTCCGCCTTTTGGTAGACACCCCCTGACTCTGGATATCGCGTGATTAGCTGCGTACCCCATGCGAAACAGCTAATTAAAATACGCGCGGGTTAATGGAGCCGTTTAGCGCAAGTTCAGAAAACTCGTCTAGCCATGCTCCTTCTTCCGTTGAATGAGAGGAACTACTTGTAAAGGGCTCCGTCGGTTTGCATTGATTCCTTTTTTCATTTTCAGCCACTTCGTCATTCATAATTTCATCATTGGCCACCAATTGGAATTGAATTGGTAGGGCAGAGAATCCTCGACGTGCCGATGAGGAATCCTCAAGCGATATTCACCCTGACTGATATGCTCTGTTCCAAGTGCCGTGCTAGAGAGCCCGTGCCCCTTAAGGTATCCAGATCAGGCGGTTACGACGGGCTTTCTGAACAACAAGCGGCTCCCGCTAAACCAAGTACTGCATTAGGGAGCGATAGGCAGTACGATAATCTCTGAATGCTAGATCCAGACGGATCAGTTTATAGAAAAGGACGCCACGAAAACGTAGTGAACCGTACAAGGACAGCTGCCTTCTTCGCAGTTCAACCCTATACATAGCCTGTTTAAGGTTAAAGAAGGCATTTGGCAATGATCACTCCCTTTCAAGGTGCCCCATGCTCCTTTCATGCATTCACGTTGCACTTGCGGTATTTAATACGGTATATCCGACGCAATGAGTTGCGATGTCCACCCGATGGAGAAATTCATCTTCTTATTTTTTCAGACAGTTATGCCAATTGATCGACACCGGAAGAATTGAGAGCTGACCTGTTCTGGGTTGCCAATTTCTTTTTGAATCTTTTCTTTTTCTTT